TCCAAAAATACTAAAATTTGTATGTGACGTATGGGAGAGAGAAATCAACTGCGCAGATTTCTGGAGTTCCAGAACCTCATCTCAGCATTGATCTGTAAATAGTTGAAATATGAATAAAAAGTTAAATCAATAACAATAATAATACAATTTTTAACAGCGCGAGATAAGCAAACATTTGTAGAAACTGTACATTTTTCGTCCCCGAGTTATAGAAAACGTATTTACATTGCAAAAGAATTTCAGATTTGATTCCTCTGCACTGCCAACAAAATAGCACTTCACCCTCATCTCTACTCCTACACTACCTCCACTTCAAGCAAAGAGTTCAAACAAACGATGCGCATATTGAAGCTACATTTATGTCCAGAGCAAGACAGGGCATCTCAGCATTTTACTCATAGTCAGGGGCATTGAGAAAACCTGATGGAGATGGTGTCATTGTCCCGAAAGTTGAAGTAGTTAGGTTCTTACAACACATTAAATTTATTTTTAATATACAAGTACAAATGTAACTAATGCTTTATATCATTTTTTTTGTAGAATAAATATTATTTTTCTTTTTTGATGTCAGTTCCTCACTAATTGTATAAAATGCAGTAAAATGCCCTATAATGCTGTAAAGTTGCGTTTATTCCTCCTTGTACAGTACAGACTAAAAATAATTGAAACTTGTGAAAAATGGCATCTAAATATTCAATACAGTATAACCTCACAACACTCACCTCGTGTCAAAATCTATATAGGTTAAATAACTCCTTAACAAAGCATTTTGGAGCCATTTTGAATTGAGGCCAAAGACTTGAAAAAACATTTCCCACTTACCGTTAATCTAAAGATGAGGTATTATTAAGACATTCATTATATCTTTACTAGTTTTCCGCACTTCTCAATGAAACATACATAATGACATGGAAGCCAGCTTGTTTGTGACGTCACCCCAGGAACTTATATTCTTCCATCTTATTGTTACACTTTTTTGGTACATCCGTAGTTTACGCAGACTGGTGAGATTTATTTGCAGAATCAATTTATTCAAGATTCGCTCTCATAGTAGCTAGAAGTATTAATAGTGATGATACTGATGAAGAATGTTTTTATGCGAGTAGCGCGTCGTTACTTTCCATTTACTGCAGAGTTGTGTAGCCAATTGAAGAAGAACTACGATACAAGTCATTTAAGAAAATAATTTTTATATCTTCTTTATCATACTTTTATTTCTTTGAAGGTAGTGATACACCGTATTTTTGATAAAAGTGAAATTCGCTGCAATTCGTTATGCCATGAAGAAAAGTCACGACCAAAACAGGTACAATGAGACGACCGAGACTCAAGCAAGAAGGCCACCCCACAAAATGCCAGGGTGTTCTGCGCGTGGAATCCATTAGAGAATGGCAGAAGGCTCAAGAACATTGGCGAAGGGCAATTTCAGAGAGCTACTTTTGCTAGAAACTAATACAAACTATGATGGACAGAGGCTCTTACATCTTTTTGATGTTCTACGTTAAAAAGGAAGAAAGAAAAAAAAATATTGGCAAAGAATAGACGACTGAGTACAGTGAAGAGTGAAGGACGTGTGCCGTGATTCGATTGTTTCTGTGTTACAGTGCCACTAGTTTATTATTCAGGCAGCTGTTGGGTGGAAATTGTTCAAGTCAGTTTTCAGTCAAATTGCATTGCAAAAGCTGGGAAATAAATATTTCCCCAGGAGTGATATATGTAATTTTACTTAATTAATATCTTGGATAGTATAAGCATTTGCAAAAAAAAACTGGACTATTCTCTAGTACATCCAGGCTGTAAATGCTATTTGACACGGTGGTAAGTAAAGATCTAGATGATGATCGTTGCAAGCCAAATGAAATTTATTATTAAGCAAGTCTATTTATTAATTATTGAACAATAGCTTACAGACATGCTGATTTGTCTGCTTTCAGCAGTATTTTTATTTTCTATTACCTCTCTTGCATACAATTTTTTTTAGAAATCGGGATATGTTGTATCTCCACAACTACGAATAGTAAAAAGCAAGCACATCAGAATATTTTGAAGTGTGACTAAGCGAGAAATTCTCCAGGCAGGAAACATTGGGCAGGCAGTCAGATTGCTTAGTTTCATTAATGTTAATAGAATGTATACGAAATATTTCTTAGACAACAAAATTGGAAATATAGTTGCAGAACCTAACGATAGTGGCAAAAGCGCTACTTTACCTCAGATAATCTTATTGTTGTATATTAATGTTAATTTCCTCTCTTATTACTATTTTTCCCAACCAATTTTTATAAATGAGGACTCTAAAGAAAGTTAATTCACGTAGAGACAAATTTTACTTTGATTTTAAAATATGAAGGATTTTGTTGAAAATGACGCATCCTAAATAATTCACGTCAAACGCAACCAGCAATACTAGGTAGCATGTTAAAATCTATTTAGTTAAATAGCTCCTAAATCGAGCATTCTAGGGCCTTAAATATGAAATTTTGAGGCTGGTGCGTCTCAAAGACACGTTCATCGCATGTTATTTTGTACAAGGAGCACTTCCTTGATACTCTATTAGATTTTGCTGGTCCAGCACTTCTCGATTCTACCCCAAGTGGTCAGAGACATGCAGGACCTGCTAACTGTATGTAAATTAAACTAATTACGATATTGGAGACGACTGAATTGCACGGGTGTACATCTCAGTTTGCGTAATAAAGTTAAGAGTACTCCAAAGAGTAGGTTGTACTTGCACATCCTGTATTTCGCTAGGACAACTTTACGTAGATTCGTAAGAGAAAACGTTTTTCTAGTATTTTTGTGACAAGCAAGGTAAAGCGAAAGCTAGCTATCAAGCCAAGATTTTTCTAAGTACATCAATGAAAAACATTATAAAACACGATTACATAGAAACAAATCATTGACATTTCAAAATTTCGCCGATATTGTTGTAGATGAAAAAAAATAAAAAGTTCATAATGATTCAAGCAGGAACACCATCTGAGGAAACAAGTAATCAAGCAAACCTCAGGGAAACAAACGTCATTCTGCACGAAGAATGATATATCAACCATTCAATGTTTAAATTATAGAGGTGAAAAAATAAGGAACATTTATCAGCCACGTCTACAGGCGGTTTTGTAGATGAAAGAAGTGACAGCAAGTCTTTTTCTTCCAGAAGTCCCCGGTAGTATTTTCTTCCAAGGCTGATTCCAGTAAGGAAACAAATTCAATTTAAAAACTACGGTGCTTTCGGCCAATAATGTCGAAGGGCTTTGACAAACCAGCCTATTCCTAAGAAGAGTCTGGTAGAGGAAAATGATTCAGACAACGAAAATATTTTGTGAACAATTGTTTGCTCATAAATGACGGAAGCTTTAATAAACCAGTAGCAACAAGCAATTGCGTATCTGACTTCATGAGCTTTTTACAATCCATTATTCTGAGTGCCCATCCACTATATTACAGTGTCCAGGATAGACTGAAAGTGCCCATCACTATATTTTCTGCCTTGATTTTTAGTTCACATGTGTGTGTGGTGTGTGTCACAAAAATGTAAATATTAATTTTCAACCATTGCCAATTACTGGCGTCGTAAATGAACAATTACACAGTAATTAATTTGCCAACTACGAAGTTTCTATTGTAAAAATAAAACAACTATTCATTCATTAAAACATATTGGTTGCTCTTAAAGCGCCATTGCTATGTGCTTCTACCCTACGGTCATGATAAGTTAATTGTAGATTTGAACTGTTGGCGTTAAACTACATTATCAATACGGCTACGATTTAACTGATATATCCCTGGAGTAGGTCTTATGAACTTCCATTATTAGCTCCCACCGATTACTGCTGAAAACGATCCGATATCCTAATACCTCAAATTATCAAAAGGAAAAAACATTCGTTCATTGGTGAGGATACGATGCATATACAAATCATCATCATCATCAAAATCAATAAAAGCGAATGTGCTTACAGCCCTAACGCAGAAAAACATTATTTTGTGGTTATCTTCTCTAAACTATCAGTTATTTTCGTTTTCATTTATTGAACACACACATGTTGCAAATGAAACTCATTTCACATTTACTAGATAATTATGGAGTCTTTGAAAATTAATTACCAAACTTCCCTCAAATTAGCCAATCATTCCCTTTTTTCCATCGGACGGAATGCTTAATAACACACCCAGGACCGTTTTAAAAGGCATTGAAGGGACCCCCTATTCTTACTTGCACTGATCCCCTCTTCCGCCCAATTTTGATGCCTGAGAATATAAGAAAATCCAATCAATTCCCATTGTATATTCTATTTTTCAAATATTTTGAAACTATTTTTTAGTGTTTCAATAAAACATTATTCAAACAAAAATTATCCGGGTTCTTTAACATTAGGACCCGCGATCTAACGCTACATGTAAACTGGTAATTCCCTGGAGTATGTCATTAAGTGAACA